AATCAGAATACCAATCAATGTTAACGTTATTTAAACAAGAAAAGCTGCCATAGTTAACGAACGAATACCACTTCCACATTGAAATTGCAATTCTTGAAATTAATACTACATCTTTGATTACTCTTTTGTTGAGTAATAAAGTTACCAACACACCAGGACCAAACATAAAGAAATTAATTCTGTAGACATTTTCCACATCTTCGTGACTGTAAAATGTAAAAAAAAAAAACATTAACTATATAAAGCAAAGCAAAAATAGTAAAAGAAATAAAATTTACAGTAACAAAGGTCTAATTGATAATCCAAAGATAAATTTAAATACCTAAATGCAAAAAAAATACGAATTTAGCTAAAAAAAAAAAAAACAAAGAGAATTTTTCTAAAGCAATATTATAAATTTAAAATTAAACTTACACTAAAAATAATACCTAGGGAAAAAATAACACTGCAAAAACTTGAGTAAACTATTCGACTCGACAGGTAATAGATTCATCTTCTCTTGGTACACCACTCTTTTGGTTTCGAGGCATAATTTTCTTATAAAATGTTTTGTAGGTAAGATGAGATTTTATTATTTTGTTCCATTTGTACAAATATTGAAGTAGTAAATATGTGAACATAATAGATGCATTATATTCTTTAATATGGAAACAAAAATTTAGTTAAATAAATTCCTAGACAAATTAATATGCCAGAATTGAATACTAATATTTTATTAATCTAAGATCAAATCATATTCAAAAATGTCTAATATAGGGCATTTCTTTATGATAATCATATTTTCTCAGCTCGTGAAATTCAAGGGGTTTATTTGTGGTTTTGAACCTTAAAATTTCCACTAAGAAGACTGTTAAAATATGTTTAATGGTAATGGTACACAGGTTAAGGTGTGCATAGATCGATTTTATTCTTTTATTTAAAGATAATGTGCTCATAATACGCCATTTTGAGTAAATTGACATCAAGACTGCAAACTAAAAAGTAATCCAATTTTAAAATTTCGTTCAAAACAAAACTTCAATTGGGAGTTGACACACCATTACTATATACTGGTTTTATCACTGCAAATGATGTTATATTTAAGAGAAAATGTTATACTATCCATATTTTACTATATAATAATTGCCTCCTGAAAGAAACAATGGTAAAAGTAGAGATAAACCCTCTATATTTATTAATAAAAAGCAGATCATGGAATTCTCGACTTCATCGTTTTCGAAATAACAACAGAAAATGGTAGCGATAGTGATAAATATTTCCACTCTGCCACTACAATCATGGATCTTTCTCACTTTAGACATTATCATTATTATAATTTTCATTTATTTTCTAATCACCTATATTTTTAAAGAAATTATTGAAATCGTGAAGGATGTCATTGAAAAAATCACGAGTATTTTAAAAGAAATTATTGAAATCGTAAATGATGCCATTGAAAAAATTGCGAGTATTTTAAAAGAAATTATTGAAATCACAAAGGATGCTATTGAGAAAGTTGTGTGTGTTTTAAAAGAAATTATTGAAGCCGTAAAAAACAATATTGAAACAATTCTAAACTATATACCAATTTGCGCAAAAGCTTGTGTTTATGTATACAATTCGTTGTACAACAAAACACCAGATGCCAACGGACAAGACATTTAAAAGATATCAAAAATGTACAAGCTAACCTTCATTTTTGAATTGGTAGAAATTTTATTTATCTTGAAACTTAAAAAAAGAATGACTGTTGTAGAAATGGAATTGTAAAATAGAGTTTTGATAGTGAAAATAGATTAAACAAAAAACATGTTAATTTGTTATAATCTTGTAATCATAGTTTTCATATATTTTAAAATATATAGAAGTGAAGGTTTTCTTTGAATAAAATCTAAAAGTGATTTCCAAAATTAAATGTAACTGTATCACTGATTGCAATGATTCAAGGAAATGACTAAGTTGTCGGGAGAGAAAGGTTATACATGTTTCTGATTGAAAGAATTTATCGTGAAATTTAAATAACCCCTTTTTTTAAGAAATAGAAATACTTGGAGTGTTCTTAAACATTTACCTCAATGAATTCAAAAAAAAAAAATTTTGATTGATTAGTTTGATCAAACAGGCTGATCAGATTCATTATTAAGTCCATTGAGGTAGAGACTCGGGAACGCCCTTAATCAATGCCCTTACTGATAAAAAACTACAAAAGTACAGTTAATAAATGTATTTTGCCATGTTTCCCCTCCGGTTATTTTAATTACCCGTGAGATTAATTTATTGACTAACTTGTGCTATAATTGATATAAATAAATGATTTCTTATTGATCTAGCGCTAGAAAAAAAATGATACTTGAGAACAAGATAATAAATTTTAATATACTTCCTATTAGTTCTAATCTCATTTTAACAATATCTTTAATAATTACTCTTTTCTTTATATATCATTTCATAAAAATATTATTAAACCTTTTCAAAATATTAATAAATAAGTTTTTAAGGGTAAATAGATGTTTTACTTAACTACAAAATTTTAAAAATATCATAACATTATGATAATATTTTCGTTATGCTCAAAAGCATGTAAGACACTGCATTTTATTAGCTGGAGCTTGGTGAAAGCCTTTCAAGTCTTACTCTACTGAATTTTAGGAACGTCTGTCTCCCGCTTTAACTGATCGTTTAACAACCAGAATTGAATCTCAATGTCGTAGCAGACTTTTAATAGAATTTATTTAATGCTTCTATATGATCACACAATCAACTAATTTTATTGTAGAATGTTATTTCCCCAACATTACTTGTTATTTTCTAGTAACTTGTGTTCTTCCTTGTGCCATATACTGTAAATACATTTAAAACAATTGTCTTTTTAAATAAAGTGTCTATATGGTGAATTAGAAGTTTGGTTTTCTCTTTGCGTTACTTATTTCATAAAGTTCTAATAACTTTTATTAGATGCACATGAAGTAGTAAAATCAAATGTAATTTTATACTCGTTATAATAAAATTTTTTGCCAATCTTTCTATGACAAATTTTTTGCTCTATATCGGAAATTCCCGGCAATATATTATCCAGCTGATTAAAATAAACAATACCGGTAATAATATGCAGAATGTTTTTTGATTACGGCATGGTGGTCTTTCTTGCAATTTATACGACTCGCTACTTTTAATTTGTAAATTCAAATTGAATTTAGTACACGATTTTTTTTTTTATGGAAAATGCGTAGTGTTGTATCAATTAATAATCAATTGTTAAATTTTTTTCCCTTAAAATTTAACAAGCATAGATTTAAATTCACTGTACAGTGCCAATAAAAATAGTAACCAATATATATATGTTTGTTTTCGTGTTTCATAAGAATAAATACGAATATGTCTAAGTTGATGACCGAAGCGTTTCAATTTAACTGTAAACAGAAATATGATACGGCCTGGAAAAAACTTTACGAACATGGAAAAATTCTCATTATGTCGAAAATGAAGCCAGGTTTATGATGGTGTATTAACTGAAATTGGAGATCCTCCAACGTTTTTTTTTTTTGATACTGGGTCAAGTATTCTTTTTATTTTTAACTATGTAGTGAAAAAAATTGATAAAACAAAAGATAAAAAAAATGAATACCTCCTAGGCATATAAAATATGATAATTCTCATAATCCTTATTGTACCAAATATGTACTCCTTATGTGGATAATTATGTACATGGAACTATTAATTCTTCGGATTTAATTTTTGCAGGACTTAAAGTTATAGGTCAGTGGTAGATAAGATTAAGAGAAAATCAAATAAATTGTTTAAAAAGTAATCATAGAATAGTTTAATTTTATCGAATTAAATATAGAATTCCGGCAGGTTTCGAAGGACGAAGAATTAGCTATACTCAAGTAATCATAAATGTGGCGCAATACTACTTTATGTGACAAAATTAGTGAACCATGTGATGCTAATTGTCACATAGCACAATATATAAAAATCAACAATCTATTTTGATTTTTTATAAATACCGATACGTAATAGCATGTGATAATTAGTATATTCTATTTTGATGATTTAAATTCACAGGAAAAGTTAGATTAGGAATTTAGAACTGGGCAAAACAACAAGATGTTACACGACTGAACCTTCACCTGGTTTTCAACATATAAAAAAACTACTTTGCAATACCAGATCATTCCGCTAGTACATATACGTAATCCAACACCATTTTTATTATAATAAATGGTGTTGGATTATAATCATAACATGTACTATCGGAATGACCTGGTATTGTAAAATAGTTTTTTATATGTCGAAGAATGTTGTTTATTGAGTGTGGGTATTATAGCGCAGGTAAGTATTTACCTAATATGTATAATATATTGATCATTCGATTCGTCTTGTCAAGACGAATCGAATGATCTAAATCCGATTACTATTATGATAAAACAACTAGAATTCCTATCCATTATCTGTTTATCCATTTATCTATTAGATATCCAGATCTGAATTTATTTGGATATCCGTTTTACTATTGATATCCGGATAAATTCAGATATAGACGGACCTCTAAAAACAACTACTAATCCAAATAAGAATACAAAGATTAAAAGCTGATTTATTTTGGTCGATATCACATTTATTCAAATAAATTGTTAAGCTTTCATGTGCTAATCTAGAGTGTCCAAATTACGTGTTTTCAAACAATTCTATTTTATTTGAACAATAGGAAAATAGCTAACACCGTGTATAATCTGGATACTCTAGTTCTAATGTTTAATTTTATAAATATAAGGCTTTTGGCGATTTCATAATTCGAAATTTTGCGACATGTTAATTATTATCGTTATTATTATTATTTACAAAAAATTTTGTTTATATTAGTTTTATAAATGTTTAAAAAAAATTGAGAAAGAGTGAGTTGGTTTTTATATATTAATTCCAGATTTAATTTAAATTTATAAATAACACAAACTACATTAATTCAATTAAGATCTTACAGACCCGTGGGTCCATTTAATCATGTGATATTATATAATAAAGAGTTCTGTATTGAAGTAGAGGTATCCATTTTTTAGAATTTTAAGGTCCGTTTATTTCAAGAAATCTCCTTACATCAACACAGAAAACAAATATGAAATAGAAAGGTCAGAAATGTAAGTAATCATATCTTCAAAATTATTTCAGGTAAGAATTAACATCTAACTTGTAACTTTTTTAACCTAGTTATTTACACCATCTTACTATACATGAAATTGATCTGATCCCATTTGATTGTCAGTATGACTTTAAATTAGAAAAAAGTAAAATTGCTTGTGGGATTCGAGCAGCAAATTTTTTTTCTATGTGGTTATATTTAACTTATGCGATAGTTATCTTATAATAATGATTAAGCCTGAATTTACTATGGTAAATAATGAAAAATATTATTTTTTGTTTCCCATGGCTAACACCTAATAAATTAGTGTGTCTAGTTTCAGCCAAATAAATTAGAGATGGGTTTCATGAGTGTGCATAAATTCTTGTAATTTACGAAACTGTTATTTAACTTACATTAAATAGTGCATTGTCACATAATAATTGTACCGACATTACAAAAGTTTTGCCAGCACTAAAATAGATATCATTATGTTCAGAATTGTAATTTATACTAGTGTTTAGATCCGTGGATATCTGACTATTTTTTGCCCAATATCCGATTAAATCCGTTGAAATCCGCTGAATTCATTGAAGCAAATTTATTCATAAATAAAAAACAATTTATACAAAGTCAATTTTTTTATGTTGTACACCGCATGAAAAATCAGTCGTATAACATCAATGGTGGGGTGTTTGGTCGGCTAATTAAATCAAACCTTGTATTGTTTAGTGAATTTTTTTAAATAATACAATTGAGATTATCTGTATTATCTAGTTACTCATATTCGACTGTGGTTATTAATTGTGGCAGTGAAGATCTAAACTAATCAAATATCGTGTAAATACGTGTGTTTTGCTAGTTATTAGTGTAGCATTGACATATTCGAAAATTTTCTTAAAATTGCTATGCATTAAATTACGTTCATACTACATTTTAATTTTTTAAGTTTTAATTGCATATCTGTTATTGTTATCATTAACTGTTAGAATAAAACTATAAATATTAAACCCCAGACCCTAATTACTTAACAGTTTGAGATATAAAGTTGACGAACTTTACTTTCATCTTTATCAGTACCAATACCATAATAATAACAGTACATTAAACGATTTCTGGCTTTTTCTCTATAAATTGATTTACTATTATCATAAACTTGTGAATAGTATTCGAAACCTTTCTTCTCATTTTTACTAGTAGTTTATCAGACTCTTCAGCAATTTTTTTGTTTTTAGCCATAATTTGGTATGCCTCTCGATTAAAAATACTTTTAAATTTAGATTTTCTTTGTACTGTATACAATTAATCAGAATTTCATGTAAATTTCCAATTCATGGAAATTTTTACAATTATGATTTAATTTAAAGTTGGCTTTTATATTAAAATATTAAAATCAATTCAGGAACATCTAATCATTCATTTATTATTTAATTCAGTTACAAAGTTTTTAATAAAATTTGTAAATTTAAAGTGCAATTATATAAATTTTTAAAAACTTTTAATATAAAATTTTTAATTATTATTTATATATAAAAAATAATATTTTTACATGTTTTTACATATATAAATTAGATTATTAAAATGATTATTTCAAAATATGTTTTTATTATACAGTATAGTCTAATTTCTATATAGTCACAAGTTTATTTTAACACTTTTATAAATTTACCAACTTCTCCATATATCAAATAATGCCATATTTAAGCAATATAAAATAAGATTTTTGAGACCCAAAACAGGAAGTGGATATATCAAAATGAAAATCAAGATATTAAAATTAAAGAAAAATTTTTGTTACAAAAATGAATTATTTGCAGAATTGTCTAGATAATATAAATTGATATAAGAATTTATTAATGTAGCAAGAGTAAAGAATATTGCAAAGGGAGTTGTTTATATGATACACAGTTAATTAATAAGTAAATAGTTTTTATTATGTATATTGAAATAGATAATAGTTTACGGATAAATAAATTCAGATCTAATCAACTCACTGACAATTACTTCAATCAATTAATTATAACCAGAGTTATTTTACATATGATCAATTCGTAAACAAATTCATCTCATCAACAGTACTAGCAGCTCATTTTAGAATTAGATTTGAAGTTAGTGCGATTTATCAAAAAAAATGCTCATCTGAAAATAAACAGATAGTGAAATATATTTTCTAGAAATAAACTTGAGACTACTTCTGTTTCAGATTAATTTAATAAATGCTTTTTATCATGCTAAATTATTGTTGATGCAAATAGTTGGCTGATGCGAACCAAAGTAATCATCACATAATTAGAGGAATTTTAGGATCTTTGTATAATAATAGTATAGTAATATAAATAATTCACCAGAAATTTATAATTAAAATAAAAAATCTTATAAATTATTCATTTAGTAAAAATAAGAGAAAACAAATAGTTTAAAAAATGCAAAATTAATATATTTCTGTAGCAATACAAAGGTTTTACCGATATTAATAGAAATCCATCATTTTAATTTTATATTCCAGCTTTAGTAAAGCCGTAATGTCGTACTACTAAAAAGGTGTATATGATATTTTGACATGATTCAAAAAATAAAATGCTTGATGAACTGGCAGTATAGTTGTTAGACGAAACCATGTAATAATAATCATTATCGTATCTTGATACTTGCTCTGTAAAGTATCATAATTCAGCAAACCTATGGTGTTGAACTTCATCTGTGTTATTTATAATATCTGAATAATAGTAGAAGATAAATAATAAGATATTAGATTAATAATTATAATAGAAACCCGAAGGTGAAGGGAGAAGTACGAGATCTTGTATAGCAAGCATATAGTAGATATTGATTGGAGGAATCTCGAATATTTAGTTACATAAAGAGTATATAATCAGGATGTTCAGTAACAGAGACAGAATCTGAAATAAGAGTTGGATTCATTTTTGTTAAGTTAGAAATTTATATTACGCTATTCTTGTTGGAATTAGATTTTTGATAGATTTTTATCACAGTTTATTTTTATAAATAATATTTATATTGATCCAATTAAGAAAAGTCGGAATTTCAAATGAATTTTCAATTCATAGATATTTTATTGTAATTGAAAGTTAAAAACTTAAAGCTAGCTTTTCAGAATTTTAATTTTAATTAAAATACTCAATGTATAATTTTAATTAAAATTTGATGAAATATTAGCACCCACCCCTTAAATATCGAAAGCTCAATCATATTTCTAAACAAAATATATTATGAAATGATAACAAAAAAGTTTAAAAGTTAGTTTTAATATTATTTCATTAAAAAAAAAAACAATTTATTTTGGGTTAAAGAGAACTTGGGAGAAACTTTACAATAACTAGTATAACTTATTATGTGCAAAACTAATCAATAAATGAGGAGCACAGTATAATTATTTACCAAACATAAAAATATTTAATATTGCAAAATAAGCTTGTGCAAAAAAAAAATCGAATATTAAAGAAATATCTGACCTATATTGTGATAAATTATTAGAACTATGCTTTAAGTATAAATTTTTTAAAAAATTTGTAAATAATTACCTAGCTGAATATCCCATCATCAGTAATAAAAAAATTAACATGATTATAATTCTTTTTTCAAAATTTTCAAAATTTTCGATAAGTTTATGTTGATAATCAAATTGATAATCCTTTAATAAAAAGTATGCTGGAATATCAGTTGCCATTTCATTAACACTCGTAAATAAAATACTAGCTGAAGACTTTGTAGACTTTGCACGTTTCGAACTATTGAATGAGCTTCTTTTTTGAGATAACGTTACAATAATACCCACGGTATTTTGTGGATAAGTTTCAACTATTTTTTCAAATTGCTTAATATTACCAACTGTAACTATATCGTTGCTTAATATTACCAACTGTAACTATATCGTTGCAATATACCAAGATAAAATCATTGTTATAAGATCCGACCAAATTTAAATATTCATTGCGACTAGAATAAGATAAAATAATAATAATAATAATAAGTAAATGTCATCATTATCCAATGCATCCTATTCACCACAACTTCCACGCAAGGCTAGATTGAGCTTTCGATACTATAGTAATTTACACTATAGTAACTATATAAAAATACTCTATCATTTATCAATGTTGCGTACTACAAACTATTGCATTAGTATTTTACGGATTTCATCACTAATCAAAATAAAAAAAAATGCTAATGCCATAATTGCAAAGGTTGCTATAAGCAATGCACCCTCTAACCAATTTGATTTTCCATCTGAAAAAATAAGTTCAGATTATATTATTTGTATTAAAGAATTAAAAAAAATAAGGTTAACAATACTCACCCTATAATTAAGAGCAAATGAAAAATGCAA